CATCTGCTAAGTCACCATTTCCTTGGGGTTCTTGGCATCCTCGTTCTCCCTGGACATCCTCACCCAGTTCTTTTGTCATTCTAGGTGATCAATGCCATTGAACAGGACTACCGGCTACCCCCTCCCCCAGACTGCCCCACCTCCCTGCACCAGCTCATGCTGGACTGTTGGCAGAAGGACCGGAATGCACGGCCCCGCTTCCCCCAGGTGGTCAGTGCCCTGGACAAGATGATTCGGAACCCTGCCAGCCTCAAAATCGTGGCCAGGGAGAATGGCGGGTGAGGACTCCTAAGAATGGGCCCTCCTTGCTGCACTCTGCCACCACTCCCCCATTACAACCTCCAAAAAAAGTGTGTTCCTTTGTCGGTATGTGGGATTGTCCCTGTCCGCCTCTCCAAGGCTGGGCTGTGTCGTCGACATCCTGCCACAGCCCTGGTACCCAGTGCATCCTCCCCATCCTTGCCTTCCAGGGCCTCACACCCACTGCTGGATCAGCGGCAGCCTCACTACTCAGCTTTTGGCTCCGTGGGTGAGTGGCTTCGAGCCATCAAAATGGGAAGATACGAAGAAAGTTTTGCAGCCGCTGGGTTTGGCTCCTTCGAGCTGGTCAGCCAGATTTCCGCTGAGTAAGTCATGGCAGGAGCTGGAGGTGGGGAGTAGAGCCAAGCCAGAGGGGCACCTGGGGACCAGAATCCAGCCCACAGGTTCATCAGGGGCCTTTGGGGTCAGCTCCTGGTGCCAGCTATTCTAGAGCTCTCCAACGCAACAACAGCTGCTGGGGCCGAAAGCCCAGGGAATCTTCCCGGCCAGCTGTGCCCGCCTCACCCTCTTGCACCATTTCAGCCCTCGGTCCTGTCGCTCCCTGCCTGGCAATCTGTATCTATCTTTGTGCATCTATCTACATTCCAGACCCTGCTCTCACATTAACAACATGTCAACTTGGGATGTTTCCCCACCCATAAAAGGAGAAGATTGGACTAGGTTTTGGAGAACCTTTCCAGCTTTAATGTTAAATGGTTTTATTATTTCAGCGCTTCTCAAATACTTCTTTCCCCCCTTAGTTGGCTCTCTCTGGTACGTCTCCTTTCTGCCTTCCCATTTCTCTCCCAAGGACTCTTCTGGCCCCAGATCTGAATAACAGAAATAGAAGAAATAGAAATCTGGAACCAGGGGTCCTGGAGGCCCTCTCCCTGGGGGGCAGGTCACAGGCCAGTCTGCCCCACCGGGCTGGGTGCTCTCCTCACACATTGTTCCAACCTCTCCTTGACACGGGTCTAGCTCTCCTTTCCCGCCTCTTCTTTTTTCCCTTATCTCAGTCTCCAGGCCTCGGGATGGAGGGGGGGAGGCGGTTTGTTTTCCCCCTTCCCTCCCCTTCCTCTCCACCCAGCCCTTCCTCTCCGGCCTTTTCCTTCTGACGGCTCCTTTCTCCTCTAAAGCAATCTGTGCATCCCCTGCCCCCATTTTGTGGGCCTTTCTTTCCTTCTCTGATTCTCTGCCTTAATCCTTCCTGGAGCTTCCATCCAGGCAGACCCCGCCCCCCAACCTCCCGCCTTTAGACCCCGCCCCCTTGGGCCGGGGGCCGCTGGATACTTAGGTCCCGTCCCCTACTAGGGCTGTGGAAACTGCCCTGCCTGCCCAGCAATTATTCCCGTGTGACCCTTCCCCTCCCTCCCATCTCCACCTTCTCCCCCTCCTCCTCCCCCACCCCAGTCTCCCGCTGGCCTTCCCGATTGGCTGGCCATCCGGAGGCGGTGACCGGGTTTCTGGAGCTAAGCTAGGAGAGTAGTCCCAGCAGCCTTATGGCCTCACCTAACTCTTCTTCCTCAGGGACCTGCTCCGAATAGGAGTCACTCTGGCGGGACACCAGAAGAAAATCCTGGCCAGCGTCCAGCACATGAAGTCCCAGGCCAAACCTGGAGCCCCAGGGGGCTCGGGAGCACCAGCCCCCCAGTACTGACCTGCACCTCTTCACCTGGCCCCACAGCTCTGGAGCAGCAGGAATTCCCATGTTGGGGACACCGCTCCCCTTTTGGGGGCAGAGTCAGGTGGGGACCCAAGAGGCCCCCATCCCTGCGCCCCATTGGATTGCACTTTGAACCTATGGGGGTGGGGAGCTGGCAATTTGGAGAGACAGGATTTGGGGATTCTGCCATACGGGAGTGTAGAAATAACGTTCCGCGGGTGGGTGTGCCCCCAGGTGGGTGTGCCCCCAGGTGGGTGCGCCCAGAGGGAAAGGAAGTGCCCGTAATCTGCCAACTCCCAGGGGTGGCTGTGTGCAATCCCTGCAGCTTCCCTTTGATCCCCAATGAGGGCCCCGGGTGCCCCTCCTCACCTTGAAGGGCCGCAGACCCTGTAGACCAAAGAGAAGAGGGTGACAAGCCTTTAAGCTCGGGAGTGGAGCACCATAGTGGGAAGCGGGGAGGGTGTCGTGGCCCAGTGACAAAATCATTGGACTTGGGTGTCCCAACCTCGCTGCTGTCTCCACCCAACTCAGTTTGCCCTTGTAAATGCCCCTCCCCCATCTGCTGCCTTCATATTGAAGGTTTTTGAGTTTTAATTTTTGTTTTTGGTCTTATTTTTTTCTTCTCTCTCTCTTTTTTTTTTTTTTTTTTTTTACTGTCCTTGTCATAACTTTTTGTGTCGGAAGGGACCTGTTTCGTTATCACCTCCTTTGCCCAAGTTGAAACAGGAACCCATCATTGTGTCTATTTTCAGAACAGTGCCTTGGTCATGCCACAGCCCCTAGACAGTTCCCTGCCCCGCCAAGTATCCCCAAATTGTGTCCATGAGGGGGTGTGGGGGGCAAGGTGGAAGTAGAAACCAGAGACAGACACTGGTGCTTGGAGGGGTTCTTAAATTATATTTAAAACAGTTTTTTTTTGTATAAATAAAAGAAAATGGGAAGTTCCCAGCCCCAGGGTGTGTTTGAGGTGGTGGGGTGGGGGCAGTGGGAGATGAGTCATTGGCAGCTGCTTCTAACGGCTCTGGATGGCTCTGCCAAGAGCCTGGGGCACCTCCGGGGTGGGGCTGGCCCCCCTCCCTTGCCCTGGTTCCCTAGCCCTGGAAGGGTGCTTGTTTGAGGCAAAGAGGAGGCCTCGAGCTCATAGTTCTGCTCTATAGCCCCCTAAAGTGGTGGTGGGGGGAGAATCCACTGGGATGGGGGTCCAGTCAGATGGAGACAGATGTAGACCAGATGTTGACAACGGGTGGGTTTAAAGACAGAGGGGGAAAGTGTCTGCGTTGGCCGTGGGGGAGGTGCGGAGAGCTGGGGTGGAGGATGCAGGCCCCCACGTGTGTACACATAACACAGATGCTGGGCTGGATCAGGAGGACAATTCCCCCTTTCAAGATGCTGCCCAGGCAGGTTCTCCCAGCCTCTGGGGAAGGGGAGGGGGAGAGTACTTGGGTTCTTCCCCCACTTCTCCCTCCCAACCAGAAGGATGAAGATGGGTCAATCCCCGTTGCTTTTCTCTGCCATCTTCTGCTTCTTTCTTCCCAGTCTGCCCGCCCTCAGGGACACCTGCAGGGGCAGGCCTGGACTGGGGCAGCTTTGTTTAAATGGCGCAGCTGTTATTTCTGCATCTCAGCTGCCCCCCCTGTTGTGGTGTTGGGGTCAGTGCAGGATCCTAAATCATAGCTTCTGCCTCTCCCAGCCCAGGGAGCCTCAGGCAGTGATCCCATCTCAGTAATCTGGAATTCTCTGTCTCCTCGTCTGATGAGATATTGCCCATATTCTACCTCCAAGGGAGGGAGGGACTCAGTCCTGCCAAGGACAAGGGGCCTGGATCCAGGAGGAGGAGGTCTATCTGGAGAATGCTGGCTCAGGCCACCCCTTCCCCTGACAACCGGACACTTGGCTGAGAAGGTGACCTGAGCTGGCTGGGGGAGGAATAGATCAAGGGAGCAGGGCACAGATGAAGAACGGAGGCAAAGGGTTAAAGACTGGTGGCGGTCTGTGCAGGTGTACAGCAGGAAGCCCCGTGGCACCCAGATTAAAGCATGGCCAGCCCAGTTCCAGGATTCCTGAGCCTGCCTACCACACCCCACCGTGTGAGCTGCTTCCTCCAGCAAAGGTTCAGGGTGGTCTGGCCATGGGCACTCCTTCCTCCCCCAGCCCTATCTCCAACCACGTTAGGTCTTGCTTCCTAAAAGGAAGGTGGCTGCAGGGTCGGTGATCTCAGAGGATAAGCACAGAGTAAGGATACCTTTCTAGAACCCAGTGTCCTGCCTGCTTTGGTGTCCCCAAACCCAAGCCACTGACCCTTGGGATCCTACATCCCGATCCCCCACACCCCAGTTGGGAGCCTTCCTTTCCTTTGAGCCCAAGGAGACTGTCCCCACCCCCTCTCCCACACAAGGACCCACCTGGTGCGAGGCACAAGGCAGGGGTGGGGTCAAACTGTTTTCCCTTTGACCTCAGGCTGAAGTGTGGGGGTGTTGTCTCTCCTACTAAGATGGAACTTAAGACTCCTTAGCAAGAGGCCCCAAGTCCCACTCTGTTGCCATGGTAACCCTTAGGTCCTTTTGGGAAATGGATGTGTGCATAAGGTGGGGGCCTCCTCAGAGGGTCATAGGCCTGTTCACCCTTTTGAAATAAAACACACTTCCCATTCTTAGCCTCTGCCCACACGTCATCGCATCGTTAGGAATGTCAGACTCCTCGGGACCACTTCACTACCCCTGGGGGAAGCTCAGGGGCCAGGTCCTCTGAGAAGGATTCCTAGGGGGAAAACATGACGAATGCAGTCTTTCCTCCTGTGTCTCAGAAGCCAGAGGGCTGACTGCCCATCCAGATGTGGCTTTGCTTCAGGAACAGACCTCACCTCCTCAGACGGGATATCCCCTCTCTGGGAGTTCTGTGGGGCACTGAGCCTGATGGCCCACACCTCTCCCTCCTAGTTCTCCCCCCAGAGACCCATCTCACAGACCCTCCTTCCGCCGTGATTGAAATCCACTCAAAACAAATTATTTTATCTCTTCCTTTCTCAGGACAACTCAAACTACGTGACTTTGAAGGCAGGTTCTAGAAGAAAATCTGGGGGGGAAGGGAGAAAGCCTGTGTTAGAGGCTGCCTCCGCTCCCGGTTCTGGGCGGTGGGGTTGGTTCTCACCTGTGTCTGCCAGCCTGGCTCTGTTCTGGCTCTGCGTTCTCTCCCTAAGGGATGGTGGGGACAGAGGGTCGGTGCCCACCCCCCACGTTCACTCACCCCCCAGCTGCCCCTCCTCATCCCCTCTCCCAGCACTCACCTCCTCCTCCTCTTGGAAACACATTCTCTGACCACCACCAGCGCTATGACCACCACGGGCACCAGCATTCCCAGCAGGATGGCCGCAAAGTTGGACACTTCTGGAATGGGTCAGGAAGGGGTGGAGGGGGACACACTTCCTTTTGGTCTTTGGTTGTCATCCTGAAGGTCCTGCATCCCCCTAAATCCCTGGTTGTGACTGGTAACTCCTCCAGGGGGCTGTTGCCCCAGGGGCTCCAAGTCCTCAGTGCCACCCCCTCCCCCAGGAACTCTTTCCGTTTCTGGGCACATAACTCCCATGTGCCTTTTAGGGGGGTGTTCATCCAGTTAGTCCCTGGAGTCCAGGGCAGCATCTCCACCAGCACTTCTCAAAGAAGAATCCTAGACTCACTTCCATCGGGCACCTGGGAGCTTGTTAAAATGCAGATTTCTGGGCCCACTCCAGACCTACTAAATCTGAGTCTCTGGGGGTGATTCTCGGAATAAATGTGTTACACAAGCCAACCCTCCCAGCCCTGCCCCCTTCCCAATCTTAAGTAAGACAAAGTTGGAGAATCACTGGCCCAGGGGCTCAAGGGAATTGTAGTTTTGGAGGGGAAAGCAACAAAAGGTCTTGGAGGGGCCTGGAGTGACACCAGAGGGGAAGTAACAGTGGGGGTGAGGCATAGAGACCTCAGAAGAGAGCTGGGGTTCAGAGAGGCTCCCCAGTGACTCAGATTCTTTGAGAACCCCGTCTTGTTAATCTCTACGGATCATATTATAACATTTTATTTTCTATAATATAGATTATATTAACACTATATTACCTATCTGTTATATGCCTGTAATATCTATTAGATGTGAACATTATATACACGGAATAGTGGCAGTTGCTGGTGGGGCAGGGACCGTGAGGATCCAGGGCCAGAGATGAAATTCCTACCTGGCTTTTCGGGGAGCGGCACGTCCCGAAGCTCCGTGCAGAGGTCTCCTCCGTAGCCCAGTCCGCACTCGCAGGTGAAGTGGGCGCCCTGCTCCTGGCAGTGCCCGTCATTCTGACAGGGGTTCCGCAGACACGGGCTTTCTACGAGGATGAAGGAGGTTGCGGCGGGAGGTTCTGGGAGGACACCCACAGTCCAGGAGAGGGGGTAAAGCAGCAGCTTCCACTCCTGTCTCTGCGCTCACTAGCCCTGGCTCTAGGGAAATTGTTCACCTCAGAAGTCCTTGTTTTTTTAACCTGTAAAATGGGACGATCGTGCTTGCTGCCAAGTGCTGAGTGAGGCCTAAAGGAGATCGTGGGAAGCTGGTGCTCAGTGCTTGGCAGGCGGCAGATGCTCAGGACACATCAGGCCCTTACCTTTTGCCCCTCTTGACAAAGGAAGGGGCTAGGCGAGAAGGAGCAGAACTAAACGGCACACACTTGCTGGCACTGATGGGGAGGAGTCCCATCAGTCCTCAGTCCAGGAACGCCTGAGGTATGGAGGCAGCTGAAAGCCAAGGGTGGTCTAGGCTCACCTCGGAAGCAGCCACGAGTGCGGTTCCCCAGGGTGCAGATTTCCCCCGCGCTGCAGCTGAGGGGCTCACACAGCAGGCGCTCTGAGCTGACACAGGTGCAGCGCTGAGAGCAATCCTCAGTCACAAAGGTGTCACCCCGCTGGAGAGGGAAGAAGGGCTGGGAGGAGAAGGCCCTAGTTTCCTGCCTCCTCACCCCCCAGGGCCTCCCACACACCCCTGACCTGGTAGTAGATGCCATTGTTGGTGCAACCACAGAGGGCCAGGGGGAGGCTCCGGGCACCACTGTAGACGTAGCCTGGGAGGCTGGCACAGCCTTCCACACAGGGGCCCTCGCAGTCCCTGGGAGCCGCCAGGTTGGCACAAGAGGCAGGGCAGGGTGTCATGCAGCTCTGGTAGATGGTATTGGCTGGGCACGCCAAGGCTGAAGGGACAGAGTCACAGTCAGAGGGTGGCCAGCTGGGGTCGGCCCAACAGGTGTGGGGAGTGTGGGACTGGAGGGGGAAACGAGGTCTCCAAAAATTGAGCAGTGTTCCAACTCGGCCAAGAAGGTATAGGTAAGGAAGCCAGAGAGTGGGCCGGCTCTGAGTGTCTCTTTGTGACATTAAAGCACATGAAGGAAATGGAGGAGAAACGGTGGGCATTGGTGAGAAGGAGCAAGACCGGTGACAGGTGGGGCTGAAGCTTCCCTGGCAGAGGCAGAGAGGGCTTAGGTTGGGAGGACGCTGGCATGGTGAGCGAAGAGTGACGGGGCACCCATTGGGGAAGGTAGGAGCAATGGTGGTGGCACAGAGCTGAACAGAAGTAGAAGTGGCTGAGGGGGTCAGGTCAGTGCCTCACCGCAGTGAGTGTGGTCCCGCCAGCTGACCAGGGTGGCGCCTGCCTCCTGGCAGATGATGGCGTAGGCGCCGAGAACCCGGCAGCGCAGCTCCTCCTGCTCTTCAGGGTCCTGGGTGGCACACAGATCAGACAGACAGTGCCTAGGGGAGCCGCGGGGACAGTGAAGGCTGTCAGAGCGGGGGAGGGGGCAATCATACCCAGCCCTGCAGAATAAGCCTGGAAGCCCCAGTAGAAAGACATCAGGCAGTGTGTGTGTGTGTGTGTGTGTGTGTGTGTGTGTGTGTAGGGGGCAGGTCACAAGGTATGGAGGCCACAGAGAAGTGAGCCAAACAGGGAAAGACAGAGACAGGCAGCAGGACCCAGAGAAAGGAAATTCTGTGTCCTGGGCTCCTGACTCACTCCTGGAAGGGCTCCGAGGCCACAGTCTGGTGACAGGCGGCAAAGGGGCCCTGGGGGTCCACCAACACCCTGCAGGCCTGGGTGCTGTTGATGAGCTCCAGCTGCTCTGGGCTGCATTCTGACACATGGAAGCCTGCCTTCTCGTCTCCCTCCTCCTCCTCCTCCTGGATGGACCTGGGGCAGAGATAGCCAAGGGCCAGGGGAGGCGCACAGAAGCCCATGAATTTAGGAAGAACTGAGGGGAGGGCATGGGCACAGGTGCCCCTCCACCCCCAGGATTAGGAGAATCAGGCAATGTGTCCGGCACTCGCCTGCGGGTTTCCTCCGCTGCTGAGATGATGGGGTGAGCGGGGTGTGGACAGATATTGGGCTGTTGCTCATGCCCTGGAGCTTGGGCCTCCCTGCCCCGAGCCCCGACCCTCTCACCTTGAGAAGCGGGGGAGGCCTCCCTTGGTCTTCACCTCCCAACTGTTGCCGAAATGGTTGAGGTTCTGGGTGAGGGCACCGTTGGGCAGCATAAATTCATTGTCCTGATTCTTGTCAAAGTTCCCGCACAGGCCACACACAAGCCCCTGGTACGTGCTGGGCAGGGAGATCACTGCAGAAGGAAGGGGCATCCAAGACTCCCCACCTCTTTGCTTTCCCACCCTCCTGGGGCCTCCATTGGAGCTCAGGGCCCCACTCCCAGGCAGGGGTCCTCTCTCACCATGCTAGGTGCCCCGCCTCCCCCGCTGCCATCCCAGAACCGTCCCTGTCCCAGCCTCAGGTACCTGCATTGCTCTTCCCATCAAAGCTGACAGTGAACTCAAAATCAGTGATCAGATACAGCCGATTGCTCCGAATGGTAACCTGCAGTTGCTGGTTGGGGTTGAAGGGGGTGTCCATCTTCTGGTCGTTGACCTGGAGAGGGGAGACAGGAGCCAGGGGAGCCCTGACTCAACCTGCCCCTCTGCAGCTCTGGCCCTGCCTCTCCTGGCACAGCTCAGTGCCTCTCTGTGGCATTGTTCCATGGAATGAGACACGCCAGTAGGCTTCGCTGTCTGTGTGGCAAAGGCCTCCCAGAGTTCTGCTGCCTCTGCAGCCCCAGCCCCTTTCTTGCAAAAACATTAGCAGAGTGGATGGCCCTGGTAGTTCCTCAGGCGGCTCCACCTTCTCATTGCAGGCTTTCTCTTTCTCTCTCATCCCCTCTCTCTCTCCAGCCTTTTGCTTAATCACATGCCCTCCCCTGCCTCTCCCCATGACATGAGGATGACCCTCACTCCGAGTTCTGTGATCAGGCAGCCACCGTCAGAAACTTCCCAGGGAACAGAGTCCAGGCTTCACCTGCTCCAGGTGGCCTCCCACGGCCCAGGTGGCCTCCCCAGAACCTCCCGGCCTGGCCCGCCTCTTACCACAAGCTGCAGGTCAGCCTGGAGCTGGACTGTGTAGCCGTAGACTATCACAATGACTTCCTGCAGGAAGATCTGGCTGAGGGGCGTATGCATTTTGTTGCGCCCCTCCGCGACCAGGGGCACCACATTCCTGGGGAGCGTGTCCACGGTCTTGACCAGGATGTAGGTCATGCGGCCCTGGAAGTGGTAGCTAACACCGTCAAATGTGCGGTAATGGGGGTCTCCGAAAATTGAGCAACGTTCCAACTCTGCCAAGAAGGGCCAACACTGAGAAGGCATCCTGCCCAGATATAACGGCCCCCAGAATCCTGCCCTGGTCTCTTGTCGCCCCCTGCGCCCCTCCCCCCCCGCCTGATACTTAAGCTGAAACTTGCCCCTCTCTGTCCCATTAAAAACCCTAGAGCATCTCGTCCAGTTCCCTCCTTATGCTCTTAAAGGAGTGAATCCCATGGAGGGTCATGCCTCACAGGGAGCCACGGAGAACCCAGGCCCACCCCATGCCTGAGCCTGGCTTTCGCTCTGCAGAGCTTTGCAGCCTCTCTCCACCTCCCATGTGCCTCCCTTACTGTGCGGGGTGCATGTGCTGCTGCGTTGGAGTTGGTCTGGCAGTGAGAGCCAGAGGAGCAGGCAAAGGGCTGGCACTGAATGGTTCCTGCTCTGCAGGTACAGTTCTGGGTGCAGCTACTGGAGAGCCAGGTTGTCCCTGTCTGTGGAAGCCATAGGAAGAGCAAGGGAATGAGGCGGGAAGGCCAGTTCTCCTTCCTTCACCCCTTCAGCCCAAGCCCACAGTCTAAATAGCTTAATTGGCGCAGGCCTAGAGGCAGTTTTGGAACCATCCACACACTTATGTCGCTGTACCACCCCCTAGAGCAGCCGTGGGCAAACTACGGCCCGCGGGCCGGATCCGGCCCGTTTGAAATGAATAAAACTAAAAAAAAAAAAAAAAAAGACCGTACCCTTTTATGTAATGATGTTTACTTTGAATTTATATTAGTTCACACAAACACTCCATCCATGCTTTTGTTCCGGCCCTCCGGTCCAGTTTAAGAACCCATTGTGGCCCTCGAGTCAAAAAGTTTGCCCACCCCTGTTCTAGAGGCATTGTGCTTGGTGTCTTACATGTGTTGTTCAGGAGTTAACTACTGGACCCATATTACAGATAAGGAAACTGAGGTAACACAGTCCCCTGAGTGGTACCATTAGGATTCAAACCAAGCTGTATCCCAAGGTTTGAATTCCTCAGATCCAAACCACACCCCCCCAGCCCAGGCCTGGCTGGAGACCGCCCTGCCCTGTTGCCCCAGGTCCGGCCAGCCATGCAGACATGCACCCCAGGCTGAGAGAGGCTGAGGAAAGGAGAGCGTACCATCCTCAAGGTGTGCTGTTCCCACCCCAACCCCCTTCCCCACTCACGGGGAGGGAGCGGCCCTGGGCATCCCTGCAGCCGCACTGCGTTCTGGGCACACACTGTTGCTCACTGAGCACATAGCCAGACTGGCAAATGCAGCCCTCCTCGCAGGTGGAGGGAACGTTGGTGTCATCACACTGGCCTTCCAGGTCCCAGCAGGAAAGTGAGCAGGAGGGAACGCAGGACGTGTAGGTGCTGTGGGTGGGGCATTCCAGAGCTGGGGGGAAACAAGGGGAGGGGGGGGGTAAAGACTTGGTGATCGTGGGCTATGTGCCAGGGCCCCAGGGAAGGAAGGAAAAAGAGTGGCTCTCCCAGTTCAGCTTGGGAGACAAAAGATTGGAAACAACTGGAAAGTCCATTAATAGGAAACTAGTTAAATAAATGATGATAAACGGATTATGATATAATAATGGCAGGTTACTCAGCTGCAAGACCAAGTGGGACGTGGCTATCTGACATGGAAGAGAATCTTTGATGTAGTAGCATCGCCAAGTTAGATTGCCAAGTGAAGAAACGTGCAAAAAACTGGGTCTCAAAGGCTATTTGTGAGAAAATAAGGAAAGTAGAGTTGTACGTTTGTATGTGCAGAAAGACCTTGGGAAAAATACTGAGGTGCTGATAAGAGCAGGCTAGGCACTCCACCCATGGGGTCAGGGTGGGAGGGAGACTTCACTAGGACTCTTAATACTTTTAAAGTTTTTGAACCATATGAATGCATCGCATACTAACAACACTTTAATCACTGTTTTAAATTTTAAAAGTTTCAGGAATTAGATAGTAGTGATGGTTGTAGAACCTCATGAACATTCAAAAACCCAGTGGACTGTACACCTTAAAAGGAGTGCAGCCCGGCCAGTGTTGCTCAGTGGTTGAGCATGGACCTATGAACCGGGAGGTCACGGGTTCGATTCCCAGTCAGGGCACATGCCCGGGTTGCAGGCTCCATCCCCAATGTCCAGCGTGCAGAAGGCAGCCGATCAATGATTTTCTCTCATCATTGATGTTTCTAGCTCTCTCTCTCCCTCTCCCTTCCTCTCTGAAATCAGTAAAAATATATTTTAAGGAAAGGAGTGAATATTATGGTATGTGACTAATCTCTTTTTTAAAATGTTAAAGAAAAGAGCTCCAGAAGGACGCCTAGAAGTCTGCCAGGAGGGGAGAAGAACTTTCTAGGTGCCAGGAGCAGTGTGTGTAAAGGCAGGGAGGGTGCGGGGAAGCAGGGCTGTGTGGGGAAGGCGGTCACTGGGTGCAGGCGATGGCAGACCTCAGGAAGCGGGTGGGCGAGAGAGGCTGCGGGGGCGGGTGAGCGAGGAGAGGCTGGGGCAGTGCGCGGGACACCATACACCTCAGGCAGGAGCTTGGACTCATAGTGCAGACAACCGCCACGCAGGGGAGTAACATGGTCACATATCCTTTGGAAAGACAGTGTTAGCGAGTAGATGAGAAACAGCGTGCTGTCCTGGGGGGAGGGGCCTGGGCTAAGACGGTATTGTCACAGTGCTCCTCAGAGACAGTGAGGTCAGAAGTGGGTCGGAAGTAATTGGAAAGGAGAACAGCTTTTTCTATCCACAGATAGAAACAGGGGTTGGGAGCTATTTGGGATGAGCACAGGGACACTCACGGCAGAAACTGCTGTTTCTCCAGATTGGGGGCTTGAGCCCCTGGGCCTGGCAGGCGGCCCCAAAGGCTTGCAGAGAGTCGCAGAGGGCGTGGCTTAGGCCTCTTAACTCACAGAGGTTGTGCATACAGTCCAGCAGAAAGGGCGTGAGGGCCACCTGGGCGGCACACTTGGTCCAAGCCGGGGTCTGAAAGGCCACTTTGCAGTGCTTCATGGCTCTCATTAGGTGAGATGGCTTGCAGTTTGCACTCCGAGTCTCCTGATATCCTGCTTTGGTCTTCATCTGCTCATCTATTTGCTCATCTTGGCAACTGGGAAGGGGAAGGGGTCATCATAGGGGTGGCCACTGCCCCACCTCTGAAAAGTATCTGGTGCTCCCACATGACCCTGAAGACACCTCTTGCTTTCACTGGGAAGCTGGTTTGAGCTCTGGCCACCTTCCATGCAGCCTCGGTTCCCGCCCATGTTTTGAAGCCAAGAAAAGACAACTTGCATGTTTCTCCAAATAGGCTCCCAGATCCCAGAAGCCATTCCCGGTCAAATTACACACATGAAGGAAGGGCTCCGCGCCCTCTACCCGAGGTGTGCCACATTATCTAGAATCCCAACTCCTGTTCCTATGAAAAGGCAGAACGATATTGGGGACAATTACTTTGGGTTGGCCTCCTTATCTCGCCAACTATGCACAAAATCGATGTCATTCTGGGCTAGTTCGTCATTGGGCATCATTATTTCATCCTCTTCCTCATCATTGAAGTTTCCGCATATGCCACAGACCTGGGTGGGCAGAGGGGAGTCTCAGCCTGCAGGGTCGGGGCAGGAAAGCACTTCTCATTTAGCACCCCTTTTTCCACTCTAAAGAGAAGGGAGCACTTGTCATCCCTCTCCTGTTCTGGGCAGGGCCATCTTGGGTCGAGGGCCCCACCCCTTGTGGGGGTGCTGGCTCCCCTAGGACAAGAGCCAGGTGTTTTCCTCACCTTTCCATAATAGGGTCTAGGGATTTCGATCTCTAAGAACCCGTTGCCATCAAACTTGACTTCCATCCCAATGTAAAGGCTGAGCACGGTGTAGGTGCCACTGGCAGAGATGCGGACGCCCCGGACCCGGTTGTTCGAGGGAAGGGTGACCTGTTTGCCATTGATCTGCAGAGGAGAGCAGGCCGTGCGAGTAGGAAGAAGGACCAGAGAGCCCTCTCCCCAGAGCTTGCTTCCTTTGTCCCTGCCTGTGTCGCCCAACTCACCAGCACATGATGGTCCTTTTGTAGGGTGATCAGGGAATCAAAGATGCTAATATTGAGCTGGCGGAGGTAGAAAGCAGGGGATTGGCCTTCCCTCTCCTCATTCTCGCCACTGATCTTGAAGAAGGGCAGGTCCGTGGTGAAGTGACATGTCTTCACCAGGACATAAGCACAGGTGCTCCTGATGGCATGATAATGGCCATCAAAGCTCACATAGTAGGACTTGTCTTCGATCCGGCACACTCCCATACCTGCAGGGGAGAGGTGGCTGAGGAGTGCCCAGCCTCAATCAAGAACAGGCATTCTCGCCCTGACCGGTGTGGCTCAGTGGATAGAGCGTCGGCCTGCGGACTCAAGGGTCCCGGGTTCGATTCCGGTCAAGGGCATGTACCTGGGTTGCGGGCACATCCCCAGTAGGGAGTGTGCAAGAGGCAGCTGGTCGATGTCTCTCTCTCATCGATGTTTCTAACTCTCTATCCCTCTCCCTTCCTCTCTGTAAAAAAATCAATAAAATATATTTAAAAAAAAAAAAAGAACAGGCATTCTCCTCACCTTCAAGGAAAGGATGTGAAGGCAAGGGGCCTCCAAAGGGAAGGAAGACAAAATAAAAGAATCAAGAAACAAGGGCTGGGCTGGTGTGAGGCTTAGGGGTAGGACGGGTATTATTCTGCCAGGAAGACTTGGAATGTCCCATCTAAGCCCGCATCCGCTATGGGAGAACCATGAGTGACTCCAAGGAGTCCCTCCCAGCAGACAGTGCAGTGGTCATCTTTCCCCACCAGAAGCTCTGGGCAGCAGGGCCACAAACTGGAGCGCTACAGACCGCAGCGAGGAGAGTATAAGGGGAACTTGGGGAGAGCTTGTCTTGGTGGCGGGGGGGTCCTCTTGCATGCTCAGTGGCCTCATACCTGAACTCCGGCAGCGTATCAGCCCGTGCAGGGCCCAGCACAGTTGTCCAGGGTTGCAGGAGGTGTCGAGGCAGGAGATGTTGTGGGTGGAGCAGGAGCAGAGCCTGGAGCAGGTTGTGTCCGTGTACCAGCTCTCCCCAAGCTGTGGGATGTGGGCATGCAGCAGACACTTGGAAGCCAGAGACAGACTGACCCCCTACACCCCGAGAGCTCCCTGTGAGGCTGGCTTCACCCAGTGTTTACCTCCATCGCAACCCTCTCTCAGCCTTTTGGCTCTGGGCTTACTCCTCAGCCCCGCGTACTGGCCTGCCTTACCCTCTGCCCCCAAACTCGCAGAGCTTGGAAGGGCAGGGCACCCCTTTGTCTGGCCTCTCACCGGGTAGTAGGAGCCCCGGGGGTCGGTGCAGCCGCACTCGTTGAAGGGCACACAGGAGGCTCCACTCAGGACATGGCCTTTCTGGCACTCGCAGCCCTCGGCACAGGGCAGTGCTGCCGGGCAGTCTTTTGGGGTGTTCAGGGTGCGGCAGGTGGCTGGGCAAGGGTTGGCACAGGGGCTGTAGCTGCTGCCAGAAGGGCACTTCAGAGCTAAGAAGAAACCAGTGTTAGGAAGGGCTGAGTGATCTCCACCTCCCTGCCCGTGGGACATCAATAATTCCTGGGAATGTGTATTAGACCAGTGGACAAATGAAACGGGGTCAATCCAGGTAATGGAATATGATTCAGCCTTAAAAAGAAGGGAATTCTGGCACATACTACAACATGGATGAACCTTGAGTACATTATGCTAAGTGAAACAAGCCAGTCACAAAAAGACAAATACATGAGGTCCCTAGAGCGGTCAAATTCATAGAGACAGAGAAGAAAATGCTGGGTGCCCGGGGTTAGGGAGGGTGGGGTGGGAATGGGACGTTAGTGCTTAATGGGGACAGAGTTTCAGTTTGGGAAGATGAAAAAGTTCCAGAGATGAATGGAGTTGATGGTTGCATAACAGTGTGAATGTACTTAATGTTATAGAACTAGACACTTAAAAATCTTTAAAATGGGAAATTTTACAGTATGTATATTTTACACGCAATTAAAAAAAAATGAGTTCCTGGGAAAGACAGGAAGAAAGGAAACAGAGCTGGCCTAGGTAAGAGGGAAAGATGCAATAACCAAGTGAGGGTGGAACTTTTGGGTGAGGTGAGAATCGGGTGGAGGAGGCTCCGGGTGCCGTAGAGGATGAGGGTTGGGCTTGGGGAGACTGGAGAGTGGAGAACAGAGGAGGTCCCCTGTGGGCGCTGAGGACCAGGCTGTGAAGGGAAGATCAGAGGAACAGAACGTAGGGAAAGGAGGAGAGGACAAGGCTGGGGTGGGGAGGACTCCTCCAGGCTGCAGGTCACTTACGGCAGAAGGTGCTGTTCCGCCAGACAGGGGGCTGGCCGGCCTGTGCACACTGGGATGCATAGGCCTGCAGGGAGCGGCACAGGGTCAGGGCATCTCCCTTGGTCCCACACTGGCCATGCACACAACTGGCAAAGCTGGATTCTGGGGGTACCACCTGGTGGCACTGGGAGAAGGGGCCTGGAGGAGGAAACCATAGGTGTGTGAGAGAAGAGCAGAAACCTGGGAAGGGACCAGAGCCAGGCAGCTGCTTGGGGCAAATTCGACATCCATTTTCATCAAAACCTGTATTTACTGAGAACCTACTTCCTGAGGCGTAAAAGCAGCTTATCCCTCAGGCTCCCAAGAAGGTACACACTACCTCTGCACACCTCCTCCTGACCTTCCGTCTATTTCATGTCTCTCTTCCTGCCTCCCTGACAGTCCCTCTCCTCTTTCTCTGGCCTTGGGGGAGGTAAAAAGAGCCAGCGGGGGATGAGGCTTACCCTGAGGGTTGATTAAGACATTACAGTTCTTATTCCAGGTGTCTGCCACTTCGTTCTCCTGGCATCTGGGAGGTTTGCCACCCGCAGAGAAGCAGCTAACCCACAAAAAGGGAGGAAAGATAGGAATTTAGGGTTGGAGGAACCTTCCCCAAAACTGAAAAGTAGAGAGAAAAACAGGGACATGAATAAGAACAGGAGAAGAGAACAAAGTTGTGCCCTCAAGTAGGAAGGTCAGAAGATACAGAAGGAGGGAAGGTTCCTTCTCAGTATAGACTGCCCAAAGGTTCTCCAAAGGGACAGATCAGTAAGCACAGGAGGCAGGGGCACGGGAGGTCCGAACAACCTTCCATCAAATCCAGTGTCGGAGAGACTGGGGACACCGAGGACACCAGCAGGCTGCCTGCAGAGGCTCTCCCCCGGGTCCATCGCCCCTCTCTTCCCAGCTCACCCAGATTCAGAGTATTCATTTGACTTCCAGGCAACCCCCAGTTCGATGGAGTTGTCTGCAGGCTTTCCATCTGGTTTCAGATTGTCATCTGAGCTGTTGCTGTTGTAGTTTCCTGGAGGAGGGAGCAGTTAACAGAGGCCACAGACGAATCCTGCGAGCAGCCCCAGCCCCAGGACCACCACTCTCCTTCCCCCATGAGGCTCCTTCGCTCTGCACTCCACAGACTAAGGTTAACTTTCTCTTCACCTTGAGCTTCCCTTAACACCCACCCTCACGCCTAATGCCCTCCACCCATGCAGCAGGGACAAGCACCTGGGACACCGAACTGAGTGTGTGGCTAAGCAATGAGTAGGACAGGCTCCTTCCTGTTGTCCTGGCTTTGCCTGCAGGTGCCCAAGGAACTCACCGCACAGCCCGCAGAGCCGGCCAGCATAGGTGGAGGGCACTGTCACTTTGACCAGGTGGTTCCCATCATAGCGAACTTGAAGCCCCAAATCCGTGTAGAGGACAATAAAAGAGCCACTGTGCCTAATGCCTACCCGACCTTGTGCAGGCCATACAGGCAGGGTCACCCGGCGACCATTCAGCTACAAAGGCAGGGAGGACATGGTAAAGAAAGGCATTTGGAACAAGAATAACAACAGGACCAAGACGGGAGCAGGAGGGGGGCAGAGGGTGTGTCTCAGGACCTGGGACTGGATCTGCTGTAGGGAACTCCTAGGGGCTCTGGAAGCCAGATAGGCAGGTCTGCAGGCAAGGAGGGGCAGAATAGAGGTTCTGAGCAGACTGATCAGTGTGGAGCCCCAGGAGGTAGGCAGAGGCACTTACCACAACCTTGTAGCCTTTGATCAGTGAGATTTTGAGTTTGAAGACCTGTATGTGGACGGCGGTCACGTGGGAGACCTCTGCGTTCCCACCTTGGAATTCGTTGGTGGTGCTCACGACAAAGTAGTTGTCGAAGGACCTCGGCCAGCAAAGCTGGGCCAGGGTGTAGCTGCAGGTGCCCATGAAGTGGTGCAGGGCTCCATCGAATGTCAGGTAGTGGGGATCCCCTGAGACAGCGCAGGTGGCGGTCCCTGGGAAGGGCGAGATGGAGTTCAGAGGTGCACTAACCCGGAGGTCCCATCCTGGTGAGTCCACATTGGGGTGGTCCCCATATCTCATTGGGTGGTCAGCCTGGCTTGGAGAGGTCAAGAACAGGGACTACCCCAACCTCGCTCTCTGGGTCCTTGAAGACACTGCTCGGTTCTGGGCAACTGCCTTCCAGCTCCTGGATGTGCTCCAGCTCTCTGGGGAGCCTGCTTTAGGGCAAGGTCATGCCCTTGCTTGAGGCTGCATAGGCAGCCCCTCTGCTCACCTCCCACCTGACTGCTCACCTGTGGCATGGCAGCCGTAAACGCCATCCTGCTGACTGCACACCTCCTGAGCCTCGCACTTCCAGAGCACACAGCGGATTTTGCTGTTGCCCTCACAGATACAGAGCTGCCTGCAGTCTGGCCCAAACCAGTGCTGCCCTACCTGGGGAAAGACAGGGAGGACGAAGAAGAGGTTCTTCCCAGGTCTGACTGTTCAGTGCCATTCAGTGCCCACTGCTATTCAGACCATTGGCCTGCTCATTGGCCTGCCCAAAACTCCAGGATTAGTGGCAGAAGTCTGGCATTCACTAACCAATTCAATCATTCCATCATCTGCTTGTTCCTTCACTATTTCAACAGATATTTATGTCTGCAGGGTGCCAAGCATTAGGAATTTAGTAACGAACTGGATGGACGATGCCCTTGCCATAAGGCAACTCATACCCAGTGGGGGCAGTAAACAAATAAACTGATAGACCATGTACTCCAACACAATATGCACCCAAAGAAGACAAGCAGGGCATCCTGTGAGAGTTTCCTGCCTTCAGAACAGACAGTAAGTGCTTGCTACAAGAGATTAGAGGGTGCTTTCTGACTTTGCCTTTCAAGAAGGATTCAAGGAGGAGGCAGCATTTCAACAGGACCTCAAAGGAGGTGAAGAATTCCAACAGGCATAGGTGGCTGGAGGCAGAGCAGGGTGAAAGGAGCTGAAAAGAAGGTGAAATTGAGAGGAAGGCAAGACATAGAGAGAGAGCGTTCAGTAGGCCTGGAACTGGGGCCAAGGGGAGGAGATCCAAGTGGACCTCAGGTGGTAGATGTCTTTGACAGACATCAGTGTTATTTCCAGAACTTGGGGTGAATAAAGGACAAGCAAAGCCGAGGCCGGTTTGGCTCAGTGGATAGAGGGTCGGCCCTGCGGACTTAAAGGGTCCCGGGTTTCGATTCCCGGTCAAGGGCATGTACCTGGGTTGCGGGCACATCCCCCAGTGGGAGATGTGCAGAGGCAGCTGGTCGATGTTTCTCTCTCATCGATGTTTCTAACTCTCTATCTCTCTCCCTTCCTCTCTGTAAAAAATCAATAAAATATATTTAAAAAAAAAAAAAAAGGACAGGCAAAGAAGGAAAAGAGAAGCGATATAGATGAGGATTTGACTCCAAATGCTGCCTCTGAGAAAAATGTGGAGACAGTGGCCCAGGAGGGAGCCAAAGTCTTTCAACAGAGAAATGGGGCTTGGTAGGAGAGAAGAGTGTTTGGAAAAAGTGCAGGGAAGACACAGATGCAAGAAAATGACTCAGGGACATGGAGGCAGGGAAGATGGGAGGGGAGAACAGCAGGGGTCTCAGGCTCTGCCGGGTAGTGTAAGCAGTAACTGATTCCATCCCTGTCTGCTTAAAAAGCACTAGAGCTAAACAAGGGAAAAGGGCAAGGAGAACTGAGCCAGAATTTCCCTAATCCCAGCCCTGCAGGCCCTGCCACACCCCCTTCTCTCTTGCTGTCACTTCAGATGCCTGAGGAGGGCTTTCTGGCTTCATGGCTAAGAGGCCCAGCCCCAGAGACTCACCATGATGTAGTGGCCCATGGAGTCAAGGCACCCACATTGGGATCGGGGGATGCACTGGAGACCACTGAGGACGAAGCCAGGGTTGCACTCACAGCCCTCCACGCATCGGTCCTGGCAGGACATGCCAGAGAACGTGGAGTGGCAGGTCTCAGGGCACTGCTTGGCACATATGGTGTACTTGCTGTTAGGTGGGCAGTCCAGAGCTGGTGGAAGGAGAAGCACAAGTGAGTAGGGTATGAGGCCAGCTGAGGACAAGAGAAAGAAGGTCTGTATCTAGTTCGTAATCCAGAGTTCAGCAGGCCCACAACTAGAGACTTCTGCCCATGTTGAGAAGAAGAGAGGAGCTGGGAGCAGCATGACTGAGGAGCTCAGTGTCTACCTTAAGCCTGGAAGAGAGACCTGCAGGGGACGACCAAGAGTCAGGTCTGTGGGAGCAGACTGATCCAAGAACCTCAAGAGTGTGCTATGTAGACAAAGCCAACATAAATGGTCAGGGTGGAAGGAGAGCTAGGGGACCACCACGTGGCCTCGAACAAGGGCATGGCCTTGCCCTAAAGCATCTCTCCAGAGAGCTGGGTCATAATCAGCAGGTGTGCAGCAGCCATGGTGCAACCTCCCAGCCACAGGTCTATATTTTGTGTGTGCATCAGGCACCTACCCATAGGCATTGCTCTGCACAGCTCAGGCAGCTGGGAAGGCTTTCTGAGTTTCTAAGTGACTGATTTTCTCAGTGGATGATTATGATTCTTCAGATTTCCCCATCCACACGTGGAAGTGAAGGGATTAAACCAGGTGCTCCCAAGCCTGTGCTAACACAACACCCTTAGATGCTGGCCCTCTGCTTCCATGTGCCTGAAGGAAGCACTGCCCTCCCCCCAACCCCCCCCTTCTCTGCACAACTCACAGCAGAACTGGGGTCCCCTCCAGGGCTTCACCATGTAGCCAGCATCCTGGCAAGCCTCAGTCAAGGCTGCCATATGGACACACAGCGTCTGCTGCAGCCCCTGGTATTTACACATGTCAAACATGCAGTTGTTGAAGAAGAAAAAGGCCATGAGGTGAGGCAGACATGTCCTGCAGAGAGAGGCCAGGTCAGAGGGAACAAGGGGCAGAGAGGGAAGACCTTCTTGTCTTGGAGGACCCCCAACCGCCCCCCCCCAACACACCCCCATTCTGCCCCCCTTCATACTCAAAGGCTCCATGGAAGATTGTGATCCGTCCACAGAACTCTGGCCCTGATAGAGTGTTCTGCAAGGTTGAGTTGCAAGATGGGGGATTTGCCTTGTTATGGCACCTAGAAGAGACCCCCCCCACAAATGCCCTAAGAGCCAAAGTTTTCCTCCATTCAGCCCCTACCCCAGCAGTCTCCCGGTTCTCAGCAACCCCTAGTAGAGAACACTTGAACACCAAGCCCTAAAGATGGGAAACCTGGGCTGGACAAGCAAGAGGGGGCCTGTTCACAACTGTCTGAAGAACACCGGTGGTAGGGTGAGCATGTTGGTAATGAGTTCATGGACTTGGCTGGGACAAAAGTGGGGGCGTGCAGAAGAAGAGGAGAAAAGGGGTGATGCCAGTCAGAGTGCTTGGTTCTTAAAGGGGGCAAAGGAGGCTGCCGAAAGAGACGGAGACGGCTTCACTCACTTCTTTTCCATATCGTTTTCTGCCGGCCAGCTGTGGCCCAGCTCCTCGTGTTGCGCTAGCATGCCCTCAGGTATCTGATAGTTGTTGCTACGTGTGCTACTGTCGCTGTCATGGCTGCCACAGAAACGACAGAGCTTGCTAGTGTAGGTGCTGCGGGGGGCAGAGAGACATGGAAGCATTAATGGGAAGAAGAGGCCTTCATCATGTGAGGGATCATAGCAGAGTGGGATGAGTGCGCATGTTGATAATGAGTTCATGGACTTGGCTGGGACAGAAGTGGGGGTGTGCAGAAGAAGAAAGAGGAGGAGAAGGGTGGTCCAGTCAGGGTGTTTGGTTCTTAAAAGAGACAAAGGAGCAGGAGGGCGGTGACAGAGATGGAGACGTCCTCACTCACTCCTCCTCTATATCCTCTATTGTCTGCCAGCTTAAGCCCAGTTCCTCCTCATCTTGTGCTAGCCTGCCATCAGGCATCTTGTTGTCGTTGCTACTGTCGCCATCATAGTTGCCACAGAAACCACAGAGTTGGCCATAGTAGGTGCTGCGGGGGGGCAGGGTGAGGAGGAGGCGTTAATGGAAGGAAGGGGCCTTAGTTGTCTGAGGGACCCCAGCAAAGTGGGATGAGTGAGACGGGCAGGGAAGGAAGAGGTGCAGACTCAGATCAAGGGTTCCATGCCAAGTGCCAGACACACAAGGACCTCACAGCCCTCACCCCCAAGCCATCTTTATAGTCTCCTTTCCTCCCCTTCTTTTGCTCACATTTCATATTCCAGCCTAACAAATTCCTTTTTCTTTTTTTTTTCATTGATTCCAGAGAGAGGAAGGGAGAGGGGAGAGAGAGAAAAAAAAATCAAGCTGGGGAGGGTTGGGGGGGTGGGTAAGAGATCGACCGAAGGACTTGTATGCATGCATATGAGCATAACCAATGGACACAAGACACTGGGGGGTAGGGGAGGCTAGGGGAGGGTCAAGGGGAGAAAAAAAAACAAGACATATATAATACTCTTTGTAATACTTTAAGCAATAAAACAATAAAAAAAATCAATGTGAGAGAGGAGCATCAATTGGTTGTCTCCTGCATGTACGCACCCTGAACCTGAGTATGTGCCCTGACCGGGAATCGAACCCGCAGCCCTTCGGTACATGAGATGACGCTGTAACTGAGCCACACCAGCCAGGTCCATAATAAACCTTTTGCTGGTCCCAAGACATTCCAGTTTTTTCTTTTCTTTTTTTTTTAAAATACATTTTATTGATTTTTTTACAGAGAGGAAGGGAGAGGGATAGAGAGTTAGAAACATCGATCAGCTGTCTCCTGCACACACCCCACTGGGGATGTGCCCGCAACCAAGGTACATGACCTTGACCAGAATCGAACCTGGGACCCTTGAGTCTGCAGGCCGACGCTCTATCCACTGAGCCAAACGGGTCAGGGCCAGTTTTTTCTTGCATTTGCTGATCACTATTCTATAAAGTCTTTCTTTCTCCTATGAGCCTTCCTTGAAGACTGAGATCAAGTGACCACTCTTCTGAAAACTCCCACTGCCCATTAGTGACTTCTTCTAGTACATTCCCAAAGCACTGTGAGTATATCCTGCTATTATCCACTGCCCGGAAACCATTTCCTCCTGTCTCTGCATCCAAAGGGAGGCCTGCTGTTGAGCTAGACTGAGAATTAATGCCTGGAATGGAAAGTGAAGAGGACTGGAGGGTCCTGGGAGACGGAGGAGCAGAGCAGGGAGAAGTGGCAGCTGCCTCACCTGGGCACACTTATAAACAGCTGCTGGTCACCATCCCATCTTATCCGCAAGCCAAACACAGTCTGCAGCTCCACAAATCGCCCACTCGAAACCAGAAAGATGCCTTTAGAAGGCATGGCTGGGAGGTTGACTTCCTGACCCTCAACCTGGAAAGAGGGGCCGAGAAAAGAGACAGAGAGACAGCTCCGCGGGTCAGGGAGACCCCCGGAACTCTCCCACATCCCCCCTCACAGCACCCTAAAGACATCTTCACGGGGAGTGCTCTGGAGCCTGTCCCTCAGAGGGTCACAGTGATGGCGAACCTATGACACTCGTGTCAGAGGTGACACGCGAACTCATTTTTTTGGTTGATTTTTCTTTGTTAAATGGCATTTAAATATATAAAATAAATATCAAAAATATAAGTCTTTGTTTTCCTAGGGTTGCAAATATCAAAAAATTTCTATATGTGACACGGCACCAGAGTTAAGTTAGGGTTTTTCAAAATGCTGACACGCCGAGCTCAAAAGGTTCGCCATCACTGGTCTAGAAGCTGCAGGAACTGGGCAGGACAAGGCTGCAGCAGCCCCCAGGGGTCCCCAGCAGAGCTGAACAAAAAATGGACTCACCAGCGTGCGCCTGCCCCTGAGCAGGGTGACTGTGGTCTCAGGCAGCGTCACGTAGACTTTGCTCAGGCAAGACATGTCTTCCTGTGCTCCCTCCTCGTTCTTCCCCGCCACCCTGAAGAAGGACTCTGGTTGGGGAGAGGAGTGAAAAGCACCCAGGAGCTCATTCAACAAGCATTTCTGAGCACCCCCTGAGGGAGCGCCCCACACCGGCCCTGTGGGGAGAAAGGGCTACAGAGACACTGGCTTTGTCGTTCAAGGGGTAAGCCCGGACCCACATGTGAGTGGGACGTGGCAGGTGAGTGGCATGTGTGTCTGCCTCTTCCAGAACAGTCTGTGAAGGTGCGCTGCCAATCCACCTCCGTGGACAGGGATGTCCTCCAGAGTGAGAGCTTGTGTTCCCTCTCTTGTCCCTTTATGGCCACTATGCCAGGTTCGCCTCTCAATAAACGCTGGCCAAGGAAGCAGCTGAGAAAGAGAAGTGTCTTGGCCAAATCAAGGTTCAGCCAGCCAGGAAGAAATGTGGGGGTGGTTGCAGGGCCACAATGAACAGTGTCTTCACATAAATGGAAAGAAATCTTCAAAAATAAAAGTAAATAAATAAATAAATAAACCTTTAGCTTTTTATATTTTACAATTAACACGTGCTATTTAATTTAGTTGTTAGAAGGGAAACATGGGAGATAAATTCAAGAATGGCATTGTGTTATTAAGCGATGTCACTTCGATAAATTCAACAAAAAGAAATTGTAAGAAAAAAAAGAAAAGAATGGCCTTGTACATCTTAGGATTAGAGACTGAAGTATAAACACCATTGGTTTTGTCTGAGGGCAAAGCCTAATATCTTTTTTCACTCTTTTTAGAATAAAATACTATATCTCTTGAACGGTGACTGTTGAAAACTGTCATTCTAATTTATATTTCAACATTAGATCTGAAATTTTAAAGGTATCTTTGATTTGTTGTATAAGAACGTTGATCAGATGCATGCAACTTCCAAATCCGAGGAAGATCCTTTTGACGTGAATGTGCAGAATTTTTACCATTTATGTGCCTCATGAACCTAAATTTTTTATTTTTATTTTTCTCTTTCTTTTCTTTGCTATATATGCTGTGGAAGTGAGCACTAATTTTTTGTTTTGAAATAATTTCAGACTTATAGGAAAACTGCAAAAATAGTGCAAAGCATTCCAGGACAGCCTTCATCCAGATTTTGCAAATGTTAATTTTACCCTATTTGCTTGATCATTTTCTCTCTCGCAATCTTTCCGTCACTCCTCTGCCTACTTTATCTATCTATCTATCTATCTATCTATCTATCTATCCATCTATCATCAACCATCTATCTATCTATCCAACCTCGCACCCACCCTAGGTTAAAAAAAAGACAAGTATCTTAAGGTGCATTTTCCCAAGCAAGTGCCTTAAGGTGCATTTTCCCAAGTAGTTTGGTCTTGAGAAAGTCCTGCTTCTGAGGTGGACATGTCCACCCTTACCCAACTTTTCTGTCAGACCCCCCCCACACACACACACACACCCAGGCCGTAGGGGCAACCCTACCTGTCGAGTTGCCACAGAATTGGGCCAAGATGTAGGTGCATTTGCCCATGAAGCTAAAGTGCCTCCCATCAAAGGTGAGATAATGAGGATCTCCATAGACAAAGCAGGTGGCAGAGCCTGTTGAGGGAAGAAAGGGGACCATGGGAAACAGGGTCACCATGCCAGGTCCCACAGCCACCTCACCCCCCCGCCCCCAGTGGCTTCTCTTGTCAAGGGAGGGATTGGAACCCTGGTATCACAGCCACTCTGAAAGGCTGGCAGGTGGGGACAGAATAAGGGGCGGGTCTCACCATAGGTGTGACATCCATACTGGCCGTTCTTCTGCTGGCACACCTTGTCTTCCTTGCATTGAAAGGTCTGGCACTGTACCCGGCTGCCAGGCCAGCAGTGACATCGTTCTGTGCAGTTGGGGCTGAACCACTCTGCCCCAGGCTGGGAGTAAGGGGTCAGGGGTTACAACACTACATGTCATCCCACGCTATAACCCCCTTCTCCTCCACTGCACCCGCCCTAACCGTTTCCTCTTCCCACCCCCTACTAGGTATTCCTGCCCCCACAGCACATTTACACTTGCTGTTCTCTCATCCTGGAATTCTCTCCCTTATCCCTCCTTTAAATCATTCTTGGGCATCAGCAGGTTCAGTTCAAGGGACACTACTTTCTCAGGAAGACTCTCCAGACCTCCCTGACTAGGGGTCCGCCTCATAGCTCTGGGTACCTTTCCTTCCCAGGACTTACCACAATCGCACTTTTATATTTTTGGGGGGGATTGTTTGATTATAATCCCCCTGTGAGGCACCATGTCTATCTCCACTCACTACTTAAGCCTCAACACATAGCACAGTGCCTGGCAGAGAGCTCTCATTCAGTAAATACCTGTTGAATGAAGATCCAATGTGTCCCAAAGGATCAGACAGTATTAGGAGAGCAAGGACCATGCCCTATTCATGGTGACCCCAGTGCCAGGAGGGTTCAAAGTACTCAACAAACACTCACTGAATGCATAAGTCACTATAGAATAAGTTAATGTATGTCTTCCCTGGCAGGGGAGAGATGCTTGGTACTGACAGCCATCACAGATCGTTCCACCCAGGCTGCAGCTGAGGCTAATCCTAACACCGACACAGGGACACCCAGGAGACTGGTAAAGGGAGGAGGACTAGGGAGGAAGTAGCCCCTGAAGAGACAATTAGGAACTCTGACAACCCGAAAGGGAGAACACTAGGCGCTGAGGAGAGGCACTGGACACTAATAAATAGCTGAAATGCACTGTTAATTAATAGGCTGCAAATGAGTTACACACTGTTAATAATAATAATTATTATTAACATGTATTAAGTAATTGGTCTGTGTCAGGCTCTCACTTCATCTCACAACCATCTTATAAAGTAGAAAATCTTACTGTGCACATTTTATGGATATGGAAACAGATTTGAGGAGGCAAAGAACCTTGCCCAAGGCCATCCGGCCAAGTGCTGGAGCCAGGAGTCAAGCTCAGATTGGCCTGACTCTAGGGAGGCTCTGTTCAACACAGTGGCCACTAGCCATGTGGCCATTGAGCTCTTGAAATGTAGCTGGTCCAAATTCAGATATACTGTAAGTGTAAAATATACACTGGGTTTTGTAGACTATTTGTATGAAAAAAAGGAATGTAAACAATATTATTAATAACTATTGATCACATGTTGAAATCAGAATATTCAGGATTGAGGTGCTATTGTTATTGGTTTAACCTGTTTCCTTTTATTTTTATTTTTTTTTGATGTGTTTATTAGGAAAGGTAAAATGGCGTGTGGCTTGAATGCTATCCCCTTTGGACAGTGCTGGCCCAGAGCCTGTTCCCCTTTAGAGCCTCTGTTCCTGCCAAATGTTCCCCCAGGGTGGGCATCGACAAGGGGATATAAGAACAGTAACTCCTCTCTTTTGACCTATCCTATCAGGATTTGCAAGTTCCTTTGGAAGATTCTGGAATACCGTACTCTGCCCTGAACATGCCAGAAGCTCTCTATATACTCAGGAACCCCAAACTTCCCTCATGATGGAAATGAGGGCCCTGTGTCACCTGGTGGTCTAGTGTCTAATGCATCAAGACTGCCAGTATGGAACAGAGAAGAACAGAGATATCCAGACCATTAGGCGCACTTAGCACAGAACCACGGGATAATGGAATCATCTGCACAGCTTAGCACCATGCCCGGTCAAAGTGGGTTCTTAACAAATATTTATTATATGAACAGAGATGCCAATCAAAACCACAACCCGAAAGAATGACTCCATCATTGTGTTACCAATGCTTGAGAGCTGATCCCTTTGGACTGTTCCATGGATCCAAATCCACCTCACCAGGGAAGCAGATAGAACCAGAACTCAGGTGTTCCACTCGCAATTCCCTTGGAGGACCTGGGCATCCCACTGGCCTTACCTTGTAGTAATTATCGTTGTAGAAGCAGTTACAGGAAGAGGCATTGATGCAGTGGGAGTCGCTAAACACAAAGCCAGGATTGCAGACACAGCCGGGCTTGCAGACGAGCTCACAGTTGGGCTTGGGGTTCTGGCAGGAGGCTGGGCAGGCGCAGGGTTCGTGGTGGGCATTTGGGGGGCAGCTTGCTAAAGGGGAAACAGTTTCCATCAAGCAGACACTCTACAGCTTCCCTAGGGGAGACTTCCTGTCTCTCATCTACTCTCCTTCTTCTCTAAGAAGTAAGTCTATATTATTCAGCAAAAAAAAGAGAATGGAGTCCTGCAACAGGGATGAACCTTGAAAACATTATGCTCAGCCCAGCCAGCACGGCTCAGTGATGGAGCATCAACCTATGAACCCGGAAGTCATGGTTCAATTCCCTGCCAGGACATATGCTTGGGCTGCAGGCTTGATCCCAGTGTCGGGCGTCCGGGACACAGCCGATCAATAATTCTCTCTCATCATTGATGTTTCTATTTCTCTCTCCCTCTCACTTCCTCTTTGAAGTCAATAAAAATACATTTTAAAAAACACACAACTATTATTCTCAGTGAAAGAAACCAGTCATATATTATATGGTTCCATTCGTAAGTAATGTCTAGAACAAGTAAATCCATAGAGATAGAAAGTAGATTAGTGGTTGCCAGGGGTTGGGGGGTTAGGGGGCATAGGGAGTGACTGCTAATGGGTATGGGGTTTCTTTTGAGGGTTATGAAAATATTCTGGAATTAGAAAGTGATCATGTTTGCACAATCTTGTGAATATACTAAAACACTGAATTGTATACTTTATTTTTTTAATATATCTTTTTTATTAATTTCAGAGAGGAAAGGAGAGGAATATAGAGAGATAGGAACATCAACGATGTGAGTGAATCATTGATTGGCTGCCTCCTGCACTACCCCCACTGGGAATTGAGCCCGCAACCAGACACGTGTCCTTGACCAGAATCAAACCGGGAACCTCTCAGTTCTCAGGCCAACACTCTATCCACTGAACCAAACCAGCCAGGACTGAATTGTATACTTTTAAGAGAATGAATAGTAATAATAAGAATAAAGCCCTGCGCCAGGGCCGGTTTGGCTCAGTGGATGGAGCGTCGGCCTGCGGACTGAGGGGTCCCGGGTTCGATTCCGGTCAAGGGCATGTGCGTTGGTTGCGGGCACACCCCCAGTGGGAGATGTGCAGGAGGCAGCTGGTCGATGTTTCTCTCTCATCGATGTTTCTAGCTCTCTGTCCCTCTCCCTTCCTCTCTGTAGGAAATCAATAAAATATATTTAAAAAAAAAAAAAAAAAAGACTCAACA